ATGAGTCTAATTACATCGAATGCTTCATGGCGCTTGTTTTGTTGCAGAATCGTCAGATGTATATGAAATATTAATTAATTCGACGAAATGTTTGTTATCGCTTGTTATGTTACGAGTAAACATAATTTATTCACTCAAACAGACACTGAACACTTCATAAACGAGTGGAATGTCTACGATAGTTGATGCTTTACGGGATTGATCAATTGTTGAAAATATTATTGTTATTGTATTGAAATAACTGACCGCAAGATTTTATCGTGTTGAAGATTGAAAGGAATGATAACTTTCATTTTCAATGTGAACGAAATAAAGCGATCATCGAATTGACGATGCAAATTCACCAAGAGAAACATAGCATTTCTCAGCATTTGCACTTTCACCATACTTCATTCGAGTTTTCAATTATCATCTGTAAAAGAAGAAATGAAAGAAGGATATGAAGAAAAAAATTTGAATAACAGTTGAGATTTATTAAAGTCATGCAAAATTTTCTAGCAGTCATCGTTGTACAAAGTGAGCGAATTTGAGGACGGTGAATTGAAAAGTGACAAATCCAAGAGATTCAATCCCAAATTTGCGGTCGGTTCGGATAAGGTGGATCAGTTGGAGGAGAGTGAACAACGTCTGAGACGTGAGAATGTAGACGCTAGTCCACAACGACGATGGAAACGAATTGAATCGAGTGACTTTGGTGAGTCCTTATTTGTTTTGTTCGTCTGTTACATAGTCGTATTCCATATTTCAGTTGTTTTCGGTTCGTTTTCGTTTGCTCAACTCTATAAAATTACAATTTTCTCAAAAAATTTAAATGTGTCACTTCCCAAAATGGTATATGGTGATTGCTGCTCGTCGAATGAAAAATATTCTCTTGACAAAGGATTAAACCGTACGACTTATTTTGACAAGTCGAATAGCTATTCGAATGATTGCTTTTCACTATGAGTCAGTCAGCTGATGAATTGCATTGAATTGAACTGAGCGTTTGTGATATTACGCAAAACATAAAATTCCCGTTCCTTATTGATAACCAAAGCGAGACATCAATAGCGATAATATTGATAACGATAGCAATGAAAATAACTGTAGTAATGTCAGTTGTATAATTCTGATTAATAGCGATCAGTGATGTACCATAACAATGATTCCTCAAATTTCAGTGAAACCGTACGATTCATCGTCTGGAAATAGCTTCTTCTACTTGTTATGGTTATCTATAGCCGCATTGGCTGTGTTCGTTGCTTACATGAAGTATCGGCGGAATCGGACGAAATTCTGGAAGACTTTCTACTATTATAACGATTACAAATTGTGAATATTTCATTTGTTTTTTGATATCGATTAATTTATTCGCTTCGTTTTGGTTCATTTGAAAAAAAAAGTGTTTTATCACTGTTTAAGCTTGATGGTACACGTCAGTCAGTCCTGCACCACCACTAACATGTCAAAAAATACATCTTGATGTTGTTCTTGTTGTCTAGTACGTTTTGTGCAATTTTTGCATGTTTTATCTGTTCGTGTGCTTCATTCACTGCTCATCGATATGGAATATTCTGAAAAGTGCTATCGGAACATTTGAGAATAACATCGGAAATCTTTTAGAACCTCAAGAAGTTCCTCAAGACTGATGTAGGCACCATCAGTTCCTTAATTCGCTTAGTCAATTATTCATATATAAGTTAACGGTGGCA